TTTTGAGACAGAATCTTGCTATGTCACCCAGGCTGGAGTGTGGTGGTGCAATCTCAGCTCACTGCAACCTCTGCCCGCCTGGTTCAAGCTATTCTCCTGCCTCAGCCTCCCGAGTAGCTAGGATTACAGGTGCCCACCACTATGCTCAGCTCATTTTTGTGTTTTTAGTGGAGACGGGGTTTCACCGTGGTGACCAGGCTGATCTTGATCTCCTGACCTCAGAGGTGATCCACCTGCCTTGGCCTCCCAAAGTATTGGGATTACAGGCATGAGCCACTGTGCCCGGCCTGTAATAGTCTTATACATCTATAAAACTAAAACCAAGTTTAAGGTAAAATATAAACAAAACAACATAAGGGATATATCAGAGTAAGTACAATGTGATGATGATATATTTGGCTGAAATGAAATCTTTGGTATTGGATTCAATAGTAAAAACACTTGGCTGATGTCCAGCTCTATATTCAATTTTTGTATTTTGCCTTCATTAATATTGATACAGAAAACATCTGTTGTACAATGTGGAACTGAAAATTTCAAAGCTTTTGTTTCTAGCGCTGTGCCGTGACATTAGGCCTCATACTTAAGCCAAATCTTCTACCAGACAATTCTTGAATGCCAGTTTTAATGAAGCAAAACTTAGTCAAGCTGGTCTTAGTCTCCTGAATTGTTCTTGTTGGCATTAAAGAAATATGCATTGTATGGGTGCCTAATCATATTAACCCTGGAAATGGAAACATAGAATACTTCAACACACAATTCACAACTGTGTTGATTGCCAATAAGCGTGCCAAATTGGTTTGTGTACGTTAGGGCCTGGGCAGAGAAACACCAGCCTGCAGGGTTGCTACAGCTGTCGCTGCTTGGTGCAAGTTCTTTGAGGCTCCAACCCACACCTCCTACAGCAAGGTTTATTTTACTTTATTTCAGTTTGAATTATTGTGAAACCTTTATTTGTGCTACATGCCGTCATTTGGAGCATTTTTTTTTTTTGAGACAGGTCTCACTTTTTCACCCAGGCTGGAGTGCAGTGGTGCGATTATAGCTCGCTGCAACCTTGAATTCTTAGGCTAACGTGATCCTTCTGCCCCCTCCTAGCCTCCCAAGTAGCTAAAGCCACCGGCATGCACCACCACATCCAGCTAATGTTTTAATTTTTTTGTAGAGACAGGTTATGCTGCCCAGGCTGGTCTCTGATTCCTGGGCTCAAGCGATTCTCCTGCTTGGGTGTCCCAAAGCACTGAGCTCTGAGATTACAGGTGTGAGCCACAGCACCCGGCCTTGGAGCAAATTTAGTTGTAATGACAGAAAACATGAAACTCAAGTTCCTTATAAGGCATTCTTTGAGTTTCCCTCTCAGTACTTTTTTTTTTTTTTTTTTTTTTGTGGGGCATGTGATAGGCAGTCAGTCTGCACATGCTTCAGTATCAAAACTTCATCTACATGTGGATGTCTGCCTTTCCTAGGTCCCAAGAAGCACTTAGGTGTTGCTTTGCAAGAAAATCTGGAACTACTGTCTAATCCACCAACCACGAGCATTTTTTTCACTAATATCAAATATATACCCCATGTTTCCATTCCTTTACATTGAAAGGCCTGGAAAACGCTAAATTTTCAGTGCTGAATCATAACATAATCTTTTAACAGACATATTAAATGGCAATTAAGCAATGCACACAGTTCGTTAGAAGGAAGGGTAACGTGAACAGCTGTGACCAAGTTCGCCCATGGGCAGTGTATGAACCTTCCAAGCACCACAGCTGGTTAGCCTGGTGTAAGGGTTATTGCCGAGTTTAAAATGAGGAAACTGAGGCCAGTATAAGAACAATTAAATTTTAATGTATTCAGCTCCCAGGCGAGGTTCTATGGTCCAGGAATGGGGGGCCAGAGAAGTCGCACTGACTTCCTAAGGCATAGGGTTTTTATAGCTATAGCAAGCGAGGAGGAGCAGGGTGCTCTGATTGGTTATGGGGGAGCTGGACGTGGATGGGGCAAGCTGCTATTGGTAGGTAGGTTGTTGGGTGGGATTTCCCTAATGCAAGATCCGGCTTAGGTTACATTAGCCTGATCCTTCCAGGAGAGCATGTGCTCCTGAGGTAGCTTCTGGGCGCAGAGATGGGTGGGTGTGTCCGAGCTCCTGGTGAGGCAACCAGCCTTACGCCTGGAACAACAGAAAATGATTCTTTCCCGGTTTTGGAGGCTGGAAGTCCAAAGTCAAGGTGTTCGCAGAGCCGGGCTCCCTGCGAAGCTGCAGGAAGGATCTGTTCCAGGTCTCTCTCCTTGCTTCTGAGAATTCCTGGCTTGTGGAGGCACACTCCGGTCTTTACGGCATTCTCCTCATGTGTGTGTCTCTGCATCCAAATTTCCTGTTTTAGAAGACACCAGTCACATCGGATTGGGGCCCACCCTCCTCCAATGTGACTTCAGCTTAATGCGTGCCATCCTCAATGATCCAGTTCCCATGTAAGGACACGTTTTGAGGTAGTGGAGATTAGGACCTCAACATGTGGATTTTGGAGGGGCTACATTTCCGCCCATAACATGCAGGCAGTGACACCCATTCGCGACTGCCACCTGGCCTAGAGCAGTTGCAAGAGGCATCTCCATTTCGGAAACGAAACAGGGAAGCAATGCACCTCTTAGTATTGATAAGCTGTGGTCACACGTCAGCTGAAATTCTTTGGTTGAAGATTGGGCATCCCGATGTGGTTATGGATTTGGGTTATCAGTTTGAGATTCAGAGCTGAGACACAGGCACTTGGATCCTTCCGAGACGCGTGATTCGGGCCCATCCCATAGTAACGTGGCATTCCAGCTCCACATCTTTTCTTATTACCTGGTATGTTATGGTTCACTTGACCTTCCCTTAAATTTTGCCGTGACCCAGTTTTTACTATAAACTCTCACACAACTTTTTATTCTAAACTAATTCACAAAGTTTTACTGCCTCATTTGACCTGATGGGATTTTTGTGCCCCTACAAAGACTGTTAACGTTCCTTTCAATACGTTAGGTAAACTTTCAGGACATGCGCAAGTGGAATTTACAGACTGAACATTTCTTTTTTAATTTTTTTAATGGTGTCTTGCTCTGTAGCCCAGGTTGGAGTGCAATGGCACATTTTTGGCTCACTGTAACCTCTGCCTTCTGGGTTCAAGCGATTCTCTTGCCTCAGCCTCCCGAGTAGCTGGGATTACAGGCGTGCACCACCATGCCTGGCTAATTTTTGTATTTTCAGTAGAGACGGGATTTCACTATATTGACCAGACTGGTCTTGAACTCCCACGCTCATCATCTGCCCTCCTCGGCCTCCCAAAGTGCTGGGATATCAGGCGTGAGCCACCGCACCCAGCTACAGATGGAAATTTGACAGTCTCAGGCATATTGTTTGAGCTGGGGAATGCCTTTACTTTAACATACCTTATTTTATGTACTCAGCTTTATTTTTTTATTTATTTATTTTTTCTTTTTTTTCATTTTTTTTTGTGTNTTGTACTCAGTTTTAAGGATCATAATGAGAACTATTGTATTCTTTCTAATGCTTAGTGTGTCACTTTTTGGCTACTGGGAGCCCTTTAAGCTGACTCTGTTTAGCATTCTCCTGTCAGCATTTAAAAAATATTCTTGCTGTCTAGCCACAACAAGATATTCAGGTCCACGTTATTTTTCCCTGCCCCAAGACATGGACCAACTACTCTCCAGGAATCTGGGGTTTCTTTTAGTGAGAATAATATTAAAAATAATAAAAATTGGGCCTGAAGCAGTGGCTCACACCTGTAATCTCAGCACTTTGGGAGGCAGAGGTGGAAGGATTGTTTGAGGCCAGGAGTTCAAGACCAGCCTGGGCAATAGAGAGAAACCCCGTCTCTAACAACAACAACCACAATGCAAGAGCGTTAGGGGTACAGATCAAATTATTTTATACAAGTAGGACAGTGGGAGAGCAACATCACTGCAACATAATGTTCATGACAAAGCTAGAAAAGGTAGATTTAAAAAAATGAGTCATGATTTATGTTACTGACTTCGGGTAGATTTTTTAAAAATTGGGTCATGATTTTTTTTTTCTTTGAGGTGTAGTCTGGCTCTGCTGCTCAGGCTGGAGTGCAGTGGTGTGGTCTTGGCTCACTGCAACCTGTGCCTCCTGGGTTCAAGCAATTCTCCTGCCTCAACCTCCTAAGTAGTTGGGATTCCAGGCGTGGCCTCCATGCCTGGTTAATTTTTTGTATTTTTAGTAGGGTTGGGGTTTCGCCATGTTGACCAAGCTGGTCTCGAACTCCTGACCTCAGGTGATCCACCCGCCTCGGCCTCCCAAAGTGTTGGGACTACAGGTGTGAGCCACCACACCTGGCTTCCCTTCTGGTTTCAGCTTCCACATCATCTCATATGCAATACCTTTCTACAAACTTGAATATATTGTGTAACGTTTTATTATGACAAGCCATGTGTTTTAATGACAGCAGGGTCTAATCTTTCTGTGGTGTAATTTGATCAATACCTGCTGCCATCTTGGATCCTACCCTCCAGCCATAACTGTTTCTACTTCTCTTTTTTGTTTGTTTGTTTTTTTGAGACAGAGTTTCGCTCCTGTTACCCAGGCTGGAGTGCAATGGCGCGATCTCGGCTCACCGCAACCTCCGCCTCCTGGGCCCAGGCGATTCTCCTGCCTCAGCCTCCCGAGTAGCTGGGACTACAGGCACACGCCACCATGCCCCGCTGAATTTTTGTATTTTCAGTAGAGACGGGGTTTCACCATGTTGACCAGGATGGTCTCGATCTCTTGACCTCGTGATCCACCCGCCTCGGCCTCCCAATCTGCTTCTCTTATACAATAATATGAACCCGTTGTGCTAGTCACTTCATTGACACTAGAAAAACATTTGTTTTTACTACAATAAAAACATAAATGTTAACTAATCTTCAATAATTTTTAGAAAAGTTATACAAGATTTAGGTTCAGATTTTAAATAATGCAAACATCTAGACGCAGCTAAGCACACTTCTTTCTTGGAACTGTTTAAAAACCCTCCTTAAATTTAATTCGACATTAATTTCATCTCCCAGTAGAAAAATAGTTTCAGCTTTCCCTCAACTTTTTCCTGAGTGAAAACTCTGTCCAAGCAAAATCTCAGCAGATCCTTTATACATCTTCAGCCGACTCTATAAGGGCGGGTGGGAGTGGGCTTCCGGCAGTCTACACAGATATCTGTATTCCAGTCTTAACTACAGGTGCTTATGGCTTGCCAGGGACACGGCTTCTCACCAATCCCAGTGGACTGCAGGGCCTCTGCTCACTCAGCTCTTTCGTATCTTTGCATCAGAAAGAGATTTATAACTCTCCACTGTTTTCTACCTCCCTCAAGGTTTTCTACCTTCACATAAGCACATGCACATTCTACATGTGAATGTTTTTTCTCTAAGTGAAAAGAATGAAAGAATGTGGAATACGATTTCTGTATAATGCTAGTACAATTCTCCATGATAATATTTTTCTAAGCACCAAAAAAGACTTTGTCGAGTAATTCTTAACTGCTTGACCTTTAATATCATAATTTGTTTCAACATGAGTTGGCACTAAAATGTTTATAATTTGAAATATATCACTAACTGCTTGGCTAAGCAACTGTTGCTTTTATAGGATCTTAGCCCAGTTTGTGTTGTGTTGTGCTTGTAAATGTTTAATAACGAACTCTTTGTTTAAAAAAAAAAAATCTGGGCTGGGCACCATGGCTCCTGCCTGTAATCCCAGAGCTTTGGGAGGCCGAGGCAGGTGGATCACAAGGTCAGGAGATTGAGACCGTCCTGGTCAACATCGTGAAACCCCATCTCTACTAAAAATACAAAAATTCGCTGGGCGTGGCAGCGCGTGCCTGTAATCCCAGCTACTCAGGAGGCTGAGGCAGAAGAATTGCTTGAACCTGGGGGGCGGAGGTTGTAGTGAGCCAAGATCAGGCCATTACACTCCAGCCTGGTGACAGAGCTGACTCTGTGTAAAAAGAAAGAAACTCCGTCTCAAAAAAAAAAAAAAAAAAAAAAAAAAAAAAAAAAAAAAAAAAAAAAAAAAAAAAAAAAATCCCCCAAAACGAAAAAAAAAAACAAAAGGCGATGTATACAATTTGCCATTTCCTGTGGTTAGGACCTCAACATGTGAATTTTGGAAAGGGATACATTGCAGCCCATAACTTGCAGGCAGTGACAACCACCTTGTGGCTGCCACCTGGCCTACCACAGTTGCAAAATGCACCTCAATTTCAGAAATATTAAATGGGGGAAAATGTGCCTCTTAGTATTGACAAGCTGTGCTCACATGTCACCTGAAATTATTTGGTTGAAGATTGGGGATTACAACGTGGTTATAGATTTGGGTTATTGGTTTGCGATTCAGGACTGAGACAGTCCCACCATTGTCAATTTCAAGCTACCAGTGACATCACTGAATGCAGAGTAGGGAAGGGACGTGTGCTGTCGGCTTTCAGGAGCTGGCACAAGCTGGCTGCGGCACACCACTGCCCATTCCAGAGACGTGCTTCCTTTTTGAGAAGGGATCCTGAAATTATTCCGCCTCTGAACATTGAGATACACCTTTCAGCCATTGTCTCTACACATTTTCTTCTAAAATTGATATTAACTCCCAAGAGAATAGTTTCTATACAGCAGTTTTTCATAACTTCTGACCTTGGTAGGAGTGGACAGACGGCAACACCAGGCATTTAGAGCGTTGTCTGTTCCCAGTGGGGCTCATGGAGAACTGGAAGTGAGTGAGCTGAAATTGGCTGAAGGCTCTCGTGCATGATTTCCTGTGCATGATTTCCTTTGCCGTGGTTTGAGTTATTCTGTTTTCTGTGTTACTCTTTCACTTCAGAGAAAACTGCCGGCTGACTTCAAGGTTCTGGAAGCCTCAGATCTGGTGTATACAGTCAGCGCCCAGGAGTACTGGCAGCAGGCTCTCCTCACTGAAGAGGAAACTGGTAATTTATGTTTTTTTAATCTCCATCACTAAAATTCTCAAGATCAAGTTTGGCACTTTGAATTTTCTTCTCTAGAACTTCTTGTGCCTCACAAACATTTTTTTTTTCCAGCTTGCCTCAGATTCGGTACCAATTGCAAATAAAGATTATTTTCCTCTCCACATTGTTGTGGTGCCAGAGACCACAATTCCTCTTGCCTCCAAATCTTACTGTGGGTTGGCAAAGATCAAATAATTGGATTGCTGGGTGCAGTGGCTCATGCCTGTAATTCCAGCACTTTGGGAGGTGAAGGTGGGTTGATCGCCTGAGGTCAGGAGTTTGAGACCAGCCTGATCAACATGGCAAAACACTGTCTCTACTAAAAATACAAAATTAGCCGGGCACGGTGGTGAGCACCTGTAATCTTAGCTACTTGGGAGGCTGAGGCAGGAGAATTGCTTGAATCCAGGAGGCAGAGGTTGCAGTGAGTCGAGATTGTGCCATTGCACTCCAGCCTGGGCAATAAGAGTGAAACTCTGTCTCAGAAAAACAAAACAAAACAAAACAAAAACACGAAAACAAATAATTGGGTTATCATTTCCTTAGTTTTCTCCTACCCAGTTACAGACATTAGAATTATTTTCTGAGCGACTATTGTATATTTTTTCTGCGAGGCAGCGAAAGCGTAAGGCATGACTCTTTCTTTGCAGAACTTGAAATCTGTGCAAAGAAAGAGTCATGTGCAAAATGAAGTGCAAAAATTGAAGTGAAAATAAGGCTTAATTAGTTGTTGCTGACTGTGAGTACAATAGAAGCCCATGGAATCTAGTGCTCCCTGTGCATTAGATGCTCAGTGGAAAGTGGGTGAACAGGCAGCGTCAGGACTGCACTCTTTTCTGAACTTGACATGGCTTGCAATGTGCATGCATTTTACTAGACGTGTAGGTATGTGAATGGAAGTTAGGGAGCAGAAACTGTGAAATGTTCCCAGAGATGGGAGAACTGCTTGATTAAGGGTATAAAAGACAAAATTGACTGGGCGCAGTGGCTCCTGCCTGTAATCCCAGCATTTTGGGAGGCGAAGATGGGTGGATCATGAGGTCAAGAGATTGAGACCATCCTGGCCAACATGGTGAAACCCCGTCTTTACTAAAAACACAAAAATTAGCTGTGCATGGTGGTGCCCCTG